GTATTCATTGCAGGCACTGCGAGAACGCATTGAGCCCCAAGAAAAATCTTTAGAGGTCAGTTGTTATTCCAGTGTGTGATCCAATAATAAGTTCATCAATGATTTGTTGGCTCATAATTATGTTAGTTTCCTGAAATGGTTGTGGCCTTACACATTATGTTACATTTGATTACTGGTATCTTGTATCACGGCAAGTTTCATGCGATTTTATAGACCCAAAGTGGTCGGACCCTTCCCTGGACCCTGCGCAAGCGGGAGCTACATGCACCAGGTTGCCCTTTTTTGTGATTTAGCTCTCCCCTCATCCTTTATTCCTACATAGGTGCAACCCACCACCTAATTTTCCTCTCCATGCAGCCATGCCACATCAACAAGTCATGCATGTGGTCATAAGTTACTTTTTTTTGTATTAATCTATCCACGAAAAACTTGGCACCTCATCAAGTCACGCACGTCTTTTCTTTTGTGGGGAATCAAGCCATGCATGCCAGTCATAAGTTCGATCCAGAAGTTTCTCTTTTTATGCAACTTTGTGTGTTTTATTGTTTTTATAAAATGTAAACCTAGATTGTTTTTACATTTGCTTTTGCATTAGTTTTAGTTGTTTCTGTAGCACCTAAGTTATGCATTTGTTTTAACAAGGTTCCTGCAGAAACGCGCGGGGTATCATCTAGTTTCTTTAATAATGGCTGTGGTTTAGTATGTCGTAATATGAAATATCTTACATTCTCAAATTTGTTTTGCAGGCTGGAGCTTTGATCTCCAAGTTGACCGAAGAAAAGAATTCTGCAATTCAACAGAACCATAAAATTAGACAGGAACTTGTGAGTGCAGTATTGCATGCTATCTTTCTAGATATAGTACTGTGGCTTCATAGTGGAACCTTTATCTGAAGTTTTGGAACTTATCTAATACTAAGCACCTACTAGATGCCACCATCTATGATCATCTGAAATTTAAGAATCTAAATTCAATTGGTGCTAAGAGGAACTTAAAAGCATAAAGCTGCTGTGAATGCTTTAGTTTTCTTCTTCTCCCTATCATTTTCTGTTTTGAAAATTTTCACCCTTCTTGTTTCCTTGTGATGTATTGGGCATTTTTACTTGAGGACCAAACCAACAGAGTTATTACATTAAAGTAGTAATATGGAACTATCTTGAAGCTCAAAAGGCACCTAACTGTCGCTTTCTGCATTAGGAATAACAATAGCAATGGATGTACCTGTTTATTCTCAAATTGATGAAAATGAAAGCTCCATAGTTGAAACTGTAAATAAATGAAACATGCCTGGTGACTTCTGACTTGTCACAAGACTGGCTGTTGATCCCAAGCTAGTCAACACTGAATTGTTTTAAGTTGCTGTTCCCATGCCAAAGAACTTCTACAAGACATTTTTCCAAAAGAACACTACTGGCCTGTTTGGTTCCCAGCCTAAGGTTGCCATGCCTAACCTTAGTCATGCCACAACATCTTAGGCTTGTGTTTGGTTCATTGCCACACTTGTGGCTTGCCACACTTTTCTAGTGATATGGTCCACATGTCATAGACTCAATTTTTTGCCAAATCTTGCCACACTTGTGGTGGCCATTTTGTTAGCCACACTTTTTGTGGCAGCTACATTTTGCCTAAGGTTAGTTATGGCAAAGTTAGTCATGAACCAAACAGGTTATACATCCAGAGCAATCTGCATATATATGCTGTTTGTTTTTTGCTACCTCAGCTCGATACTAGTCATGCTGGAGAATCTTCAGCTCCAACATAACATTTCAAAGATTTCCTTTCCAATTTATGTATTCTGAAGATTAAAACGTCAATTGCTTGGGTTTTTCTCTACTGCTGAGTAATTTTTGGTTTCTGTATTTCAACCTGAAACCGGGCTCTGTCTTCGATATTTTGATTAAAATCTTCACTATACAAATTCATAAATGAGGTATTTACAGTCCTTGATGTACAGAGGGAGCCAGAATAGTTTCCACTATAAGCCACCCAAATAACCACTTGCCCAACTTCCACACTTCTGGAACCTCAGTAGTACTTCTAGCAAACCACCCTTGATGTCAGTGTAAGAAACCACTATAAGTGCATTGCTACTGAACTACTCAAATCCTTGTTAGGAAAGGTGAACTGAAATAATGAAATTGCATACTCCCACAATCTAGGGCGCGCTTGATTTTGCACGGTCTTTAATGCGCAACTTTGACAACTTGATATATAATAAAGTGTATGGATTGGGCATGTATAAATAGTATCGTTGTATTTGTGTTGCAAAATAGTTTCATTTCATGCATCTTTATACCAATTCTGTAGACATACTATAAGTGAAAATCATAGTCGAAACTGTGTCGAAGACCAAAAAAAGTCAAACTGAGAGATGCAGGAGTTTTAAGGATCATTTAGAAGTGGATAGGAACTTCTGAGCTCATGTCTAACATCTTGGTTGTAAGAAATAGGTTCGTTCAATGAAATGGTCATTTGTTTGTGTCGTTTTAGATTATTGCATGCTAATATGAACAATCCTTTTAAGAACTTGAGCATGGCAAATAAAAGAAATAGTGGTGCATCGATGAAGCCAATAGACAGCTAGATGAACCTCATGTCGCTAGGCAATATAATTGTATATATAGTGATGCCTACCTAAAATATAGACTCTGCATACTATTCTTCTATCTAGTACTAAAGCTAATAGAAGAAGAGAGATATTTGTCTGAAACAATTTATATTTACTACTTTTCTGTCACGAATCTGTGATTCACTTTTATCATGTTTTTCTGTTTATCACAGGATATGATGAGACGGGAAGTCAGCAAGAGGCGCGGTGGAGGGTTTTCCTTTGTAATTGTCATAATTGTAGCTTTGATCGGGATCTTCCTGGGCTACATGATGAAGTCATAATTCTTTTCATCCGTATCACTTGACCGTATCGAAGGGAACTGGACTTGCTAGTCATGTTTGGGAACTTGAAAAGATCATTCGAGATCAAATGTCTTCAAGTTCTCCTTTATGTTTTGTCAATATAGGAGTACATGTGTGAGAAATATTGAGCTAGTTTAAGCTTCTTTTGTTGTTAATTTCATTGGTGAGTTGTGCGCTATGATGACGCTGTAACTTGGAAAATGCATCAATTGCTTTTGTTCACAGTTAGACCTGTACTGTGAAATTGCCAGTCCATAGTTGAATGTGTGTGCCATTTGGAAAGGTAAATCTGATTTGTGTTGCAGTAATTTGCTATTCTAGTTTGTGGAAGAACTGGATTTTCCCCTCTTTATACTCTGTTTGGAATATATGGTGCATTTTGACATGTTCAAGTTTTCATCAATGATTAATAAAAAGATGCCATATTTCTTAACCAAGCAGGTATGCGGGAGGAAGCGCCAAACCTGTTTTCATTTGTCTACATGTTTATGAGCTCGCACAAATCTATAGAAGAGTATATCAATGTCTACAACACCAAATTATTTTCATTTGAAATATCATAAAATACATTTTTCATATCCTTCTTTTGAACACTTCATATCTATATTTAGTGTTGTCGATATTTGCATATTTTTCTATAGACTTGGTCTAGCTTAGGATGACTGTCTATTTCACAGTCGATTGAAAAACAATTCAGTTTCATTCGAATTTTCCAGCCAATGAAAATTTAACAGGTGTATTTTTTGTCCCTTGTATGTATGTGCTTAAACTGTCCTGAGTCAAGAGTTGGTATGGATGCGGGTTGGACTGGACCCATTTGCACTCATGACAAGCACGTGGTAAACTTTGAAATTACAGTAAGAAAACCTTGGAATTACAGTAATAAAACCTAGGAATTATAGTAGCACCTGTCAACTACAGATTATACAGAAACAACTGAACCAAAATACACACTGCCTATCATACAGATGACTACACACTGAAGCAACATACACACGGCCCTATCCATAGTTCAACATCTCACCGATGCAAAAAGGCCTTCTTCTCCTCATTGTTGTTTCGCAGTCTGAAAAAAGGATCAAACAAGAAAATAGACCAATCATGAAGATATACAACAAAAAGAGAAGCAATTCACACTGACCCAAAAAGCTGAGAATACATATTACAACATACAGTTAATGATGCAGACGAGTACAGTAATTAAGCAACTTTCAGCCAAAAGTAGAACTGAAAAAAGGAATTCATGAGCCTCTTTACTGTAAATTTAAAGTATAAAGATAGAAGTTCTTTATCAACAAAGAAATCAGTAACTAGAATTTATGCATGCCGTTGAACTCACTGAAAAGCATATCATTGGCATACTTTATCCTTAAGTTGGGAATGACAGGGCGAGAAGTGCATGGATGAACCCGGATACATATGAACCCACTTTAAAAAACACATTTCTAAATTCTAAAAGAATCTGGAAAAAAAATTGCACGGGTACGTCTCCATGTTCTATGTGCGTGCATAAAGTTTCACAGAAAAATAACTTTTTTCGTGGCCTGCGCAAAAAGACAAAAAATTATGTCGTGAAACACTATTTAGAAGCACTGAAATTTGTCTTTTTTGCAGAGGCAAAACAAAAAGACATTTTTTCATAAAACTTTGTGCCGCGTACACACATTTGCGAACATGTATGCGTGATATTTTCTTTTGATTTTTTGACATTTTAAAACGTGCTTAAAATGCATTTTATGAGAAGTGGGTGCATATGCCCATGGGTTCAGATGGTGCCCTCTCAGGACAAGGGCTGGAAAAATGGTTATCAACTAGAGTCCTTGTGGTCCTCACTTCGATAAACATGAATAAAGGAAGAAAAACAAAAATACCAACAATGTAAATAAGGAAAATCAGGTCAGCCATAGTAAAAAACAAATTACCTATTGGTCTGGTTGGGAACAGCTAGGAAGACATCATCAATTTTATCAAAATCAATTCATTTCCTCAACATGGGAGTAATAAAAGTATCCCAAAATCCTATGAAGTTTGTAATCTGTTCAAATAAAAGAAAACACAAGAGATAAATCTTAAAAGATAACAACACAGTGCTTTCAAAAAGGAAACTAATTTATAAACAAATTGATTAAAACAATGTACTATGGATCGTGAATCTGCAAGTGAAATTCAGAATGCTCATTAAAAGCCAGATCAAGGAAAGCTAAGGCTCTTTCCTTAAAACAAACCATGAAAGAAAACCAATGCTTTCGAATGGTTATAGGGAAGCACAGCTGCAACGTGGAAGAATAATATGAAGAAAAATGTATATAGAGGAAATAAAAAATAAATGCACCTAGGAAGTACAGCTGTAAATGTATCGTCATTACCAAGCCAGATCAAGAGAGATTTGAGGGAGATGCTTGCAGAGAGGGAAGGAGGGACAACCGCAACAAGAAATTTGGGGAGAACTATAGAAGATCATACAAGAGACGATCCACAGATCAGAAATCTTTCAATTCCAACTTCTTTTCTCATGCCTAGTGAATTTCTTTGAGATCGAAGGACCTGTAAAATCACAAGGCAGAAAAGCACAGATCATAAATCCTTTCTATTCCACATAGTGTATCACACAGAGCACTGTAGTTAAAATTAAAGAAACTGGTCAATTTTGTTTCGAAAGCACGATGGCAAAGAATTTAAATTTACAGTAGCAAAAATACTGAAATTACTATTATCAAGTTGCTGAAAATAGTAGGCAAGCAGAATTTCCTGTGCACAGCGAAGTTTCTGACACAAAGGTAGATTCAGTATATTTTGAGTGTGTGATTAGATGCAACATTATTCAACAAAGACAGTGTGATTTAAAGTCTAATTACCAATGTAATTATACTGAAATTATACTGAATGTAAATACAGTAAATATCCCAGTATAATTATTGTAAATATTGCACTGTGATTACCCCTGGAAATTACACCATAACAACACTGTAAAATATAGTTAAATTGCACAGTAATTACAGTAAAATGGCACTATGATTTACATTGTAATTATCCTGAAAAATACACTGCCGTTACTCTGAAATTCCACTGTAAGAACACTATAATTACAATGTAATTTCAGAGGAAATTACACTGTAATTAAAATGGAATTACAGTCATGAAGCTGCTGTAAACTTAGATGCAACACTACCTAAAACATAGAAAAAGAAAAGAAAAGGGTATACAATGGATGCAAATACTACCCAACTAAGACAAACCACGCAGAAAAAGGTTCTAAAATGCTTGAAGACACAACATAGACAAACCCAACTAAGACAAACCACGCAGAAAAAGGTTCTAAAATACTTGAAGATACAACATAGACAAACCGCAAAAATTACTTTAATTGAATTGAAAATTTCATTGTGATCTAGTGTAACTAAACTGAAAATAGCACTGCAATTGCAGTGATTGTAAACTAAAATCACAGAAGTTACAGTAGACATTGCACTGTGATTACCTCTGGAAATTACACTGTAATCACAGTGCCACTTGCCTATATATTTCAGAGGAAATTACACTGTAATTAAAATGAAACTACAGTAACGAATTTGATGCGATTGCTACCTAATAACGCAGGCCACTACATCTAACAAAAAAAAGATAGCGGAATCAGACGTCCAGACGAACAGATAAGAAAGTCGACAGGGGAATCGGATGCACCGCTACATCCATGCATCTACCACTGCAAGTGCAACAAAATCGCAAGCCAAATCCACATCTACGAATGCACATACACATACATCTACATCAAACAACAGGATAATCAAATCAAACAACTAGATCTAGAAGAAATACAACGGGGAAAGGGACAACAACCGAAGCGAGGAGGCACGGGAGCAGAAATCAACCTGAAGAAAGAAGAGGGGGAGCCGATCAGAATCGCCATGGACGATGAGGCAATCGCCAAGAGGTGCCTCCTTCGCTCCGCTGCTTTAAGAGCATCTCCCCAACAGGCTCCCCAGTGCTAGCGCCGGTGGCGAAAAATCGGCCCAGTCACGCCCCAGATCGTTGTTTATCGCCGGTTTGGGCCGAAATAACAACCAGCAAACCCAAGCCGAAACCAGCGCACCGGGGGGCGCCGGGGGCACCGGCTGAAGCGAAAAGGTGCGTGGGACCGCGCTGTCGGCAACAAACAGGCATATTCCCGCCTCCCCCCTCCCTTTTCCGTCCATTTCCCCCGTGCTCCCCCCTTCTCCCCCGCCGCTCCCGTCATTCTCCCGCTGCTCCCGCCATTCTCCCCATCAAATCCGGCCGCCATGCCGCCAAAGAAGTATGCACCCCCTCGCCTAGCCACCGATACCACCCAACCGAAACAGAGGAAGCCGAGGGCGCCGATGGCAAGGCTACCGGGCTTGTCGAACGCCGAGTGGAAGGCAGACGTTGAACGACGGGAGGCGGTCACCACCGATCGGCGGAACAGGCTCATCACCAAGAGGGCCAGGGACGCGGCAGCGGCGGCGGAGCAGGGAGAGACGTCTCGCGTGGGGATGATGAACCTTCCGTCAGGCCACTGCCCACAAGCCGCGTGGGGGAGCCAGCTAAGCGTCGCGTCGCCGGCCAACTTCTCGCCGCCAGTATGGGGGTACGTGCCCTCGCCTGGCTACTCCGACGATGACGCACATGGCGGCTTCAACCCCAACATCACCTTCCCGCATGGCGCGCCGCCGCGTGCCTCCCCCTCCGGCTTCAACCCCGACCCGCACACACCCTCCCCCGCGTTCACCGCCGGCCTCAACACCCAGTACAGCTACTCGCCGCCGGCGTACTCAGGCTCGCCCACGCCGCCTCTGCACCGTGGCGCCCTACCCTTCGCACACGGTTCGGCGCCACAGTTCAGCAACACCGACGCCGACATGGACGAGATCATCACGAGCTGCTCGGTCGCCGTCGCTTCGTGCCCCGGGTTCCGCGCGCAAGACGAAACGATGGACACCGCCGTCGACATGGACGATGAGCTCGACGACGCCGAGGATGAGGTGGAGGAAGAACCGGTGGAGGCGGAGCCGAAGCCCGCGACGAAAGGGAGAAAGAAGCGGGCAGCCAAGGCCAGGCCGGGCGAGCCTCGTGTCAAGTGGACATCCAAGGAAGACGAGTGCCTCGCCGAAGCGTGGAAGACCGTCAGCATCGACCCAATCACCGGCTCGAATCAGTACGCCGACACGTACTGGAGAGTACTGGAGAAGGATCAAGACGGCGTTCGACGAGCGCAAGTTGGTCGACCCCGACTTCGCCACCATCCACATGGATCGCGGCGAGAAGGCCATGGCGAACCATTGGGAGACCATCCAGGCGGCCTGCAACAAGTGGCACGGGATCCTTGAGGAGGCCGTGGCTCGCCCGGAAAGCGGCGCCAACGTCGAGGGTCGGGTATGGCCAGTCGCCGGCTCATCAGTTCTTTCGTCGTGTTCTTCGCCGACAGTTGTTCTTCGGTTGTGCAGATGGTTCAGATGTTCAACATGTTTCGCCAAGACAACAGCGACCAAGAGTTCAAGTTCCTTCACGTGTTCTCCAGGATCGAGTCGTGCGAGAAGTGAAGGGAGTGCCAGCTCGCTCTCGCCAAGGCCAAGGAGACCTACAAGCCGGACGCGCCTGCCCCGATGGCGGTAGAAGGGTGCCCTGATGGCAACAAAAGAGCCAAGGCGGCGAGGGACGTGGCACCAGCTGTCGAATGACTGCAATCATCGATTGAGCAGTGCATCGCCGACGCCAAGAACAACGCCGCCAAGAGGGAGGAGAAATCCGACGCGAGGTGGTCGGCGTTGATGACGAAGCATGACGTCAAGCTCGACCTTCTCAGGACCAATGTCACCTCGAAGAAGAGGAACACCGACCTGACGTTCTTGATGGCGGCAGACATGTCGACGATGGACGAGCAGGTGAAGGCATGGTACCTGGCAGAGCGCTGCCTCATCTTGAACCAGATGCCCGGACCCCGGACCGGCGGCCACCACCACCCCTACGCCCACGACGACGCCAACGCCGACGCCTAGCTCGAGAACTGAAGCCACACCGATGCCCAGCCCGAGAACTAAAGCCACGCCAACGCCGAGCCTGAGCACTGAAGCCACGCCCACGGCGACACCAACCCCGACCAGTCCCACGTTTGATGCGTTCCATGTCTATGATTCCTTCCTGGTCGCCGAACTTTTGGGTATGTTTTGATCACCGACCTGTGGCATGATGATCGCCGACTTGTGGCATGATGATCGCTGAATCTGTGTTTTTTGGCAGCGGGAAAGACAAGTTCGAATTTTTGGGCGTCCGGGGGCCAAAACCTAGGGGCGCGGCTGGAAACTCGATCACCCCCAGGGCGAAAAAACCGTCAGCACAAATGCAAAAAGGCATTTGCCGGGTGCGCTGGGTGCCAAACAAAAAAAACGTCCGAAAAGCCAGCTCCCAGTGCCGATCTTGGCATGAGATCGAACGGCCAAAAAATTGAATGAAGGCCAATTGTAAATCAGTTGACTGAACCGAAGATATAACAATGAAACATCAAAAGGATATATGTATATGTAGGTTCCTTTCCTACTAGTATATAAAGAATATACTAATATAGCAGTGTATATCAGATCACTCCAAAAGTTAGGTGTGTAAACCACAAGTTATCTTCTAATAACGAAACTGAAAGCATATGAACAAATAATCAGTACACCATTTATTTTCTTGGACCAACACTTCCCTGGGATCTCAATTCCAAATTTTATCAACTCGACGTATTTACAAGTACAAAAGGGGATCAAGATGGCCAGCAGATAGAATCAGATCTCATCTTGTAGAGGGAGATTTCCTTATATCTACACTAAACAGCAATCACATGCGTCCAAGCTTAAATATGCAGTGATACAAGCAAACACAGGCCCAAACTTATTGCCCAATTCGTATTTACAAGGCACTAGAGAAAAGAAATTATATGTGGGCTCAGAAACTTTTGCTGTTTTCACCTCCATCTTGTCTAAATAAAAAATCTGGACATAACTTTTCTACCCTCTGCTAGTCATTCCTGGAGTTTGTACGGAGCAAGTCACTCGGAAACCCCATCCTTCAGCTTATTTCAGACTCGTACTGATGTCGACCAAGAAGGTGATGGAACTACAAAAATTGTTTCCAATGCATAATACCACATCGTGAGCGCGAGCAGACCATACTTACAATCTTATACTTGATCTGAGCAGGTAGTTTGTGCATTGGCGACAACCTTGCTCACATTGGAAGACAGCTTTCCTCTTAGCTCAGCACAGACAAGATGTGTCAAGAGGAGCCCAGCAAGAAGTGCTGCTGCCATCAACATCGTGAACACGGCACTCCAGCTCTCTGTTGAGATGTATCCTGTGAGCAATGGCCCGATTGCGGCACCAACCGACCCGGTCCCATCGATGATTGCTGTCACAGTGGCCAGTGCCCGAGAATTACCATTCAATGAGCTGTGAGTGCCAAGGTCAGCTGACACTGCAGTTGTGATCAGGGCATAAGGACCATTGACAAACATGCCAGTGATGAACATGAGGCAAATGTTCGACATCATCGACATGCTTCCATATGTTCTGTACAAGAAAAGGGCAGGTATGGCACAGTACATGAAGCTCGCGGCCGTGATAGCTCGTGCATTTAAGCGATCAGAGATATGACCGGCAAGGACTCCTCCCAACACACCTCCAACATCGAAGACTGTTGACAAGCTGCCAGCCATCGCATCAGAGAGGTACTCGTTGCCAATAGCTGAAACAAGCAAAGGTCTATCAGGAATGAACAGTTTAAAGCATGGTTCAGGTTATAACAGAAAAAAAAATACAGACATCCGAGTCGCTACCGAAGCACCAAAGGAAACAATGTTATACAGATTTGAAAGATGAATAAGAAGACTTACGTGTATGGCTGATGTAAAAAGGTAGCCAGTACAGGAAGGTGTATGCAACCAGCTTGGAGAAGAAGAGGCAGAGAGCAAACGGTGCAACTCCAGGAATCCTCCATGCCTCCAGGAATCCTATTGCCTTATGTTTCACTTCTTGGCCTGGTTCCAAAAGGGGCTCCTTCGCAGTATCCTTGTCTGAGTTTACCTCCCCATCATCAATATCTATCTCCATTACATCAGGACTAACCGGCAAGAAAAAGAACACCACCAACCCAGCAAGAGCCATGATGATGCTGGGGATGGCAAATGACCACCCCCATCCAAATTTCAGCAGAGATGCAGCAAGCAGCGAACCGGATATGTTTCCAATAGAAGTATGTGCGTTCCATATACCCATAATCAATCCCCTCTTGCTCTTCCCAAACCAGTTACCAACAACTGCAACGACTGAAGGCCATCCAGATGATTGAAATAAGCCAGCAATCATCTGAAAGACCAGAAAGTAGTAGAAGTTGTGAATATTTAGCCAATATCCAGCACCAAAGAGCGCAGTGAATATGGCAGTGCTAATCATGCCAATTGTTAGAACAATCCTCAAGTCCATGCGGTCACCAAGATGCCCGGCGAAGAACATCCCAAGAGAATACACCGCAAGGAATGCGACATCTATCTCACCAAGCAAAGTGGAACCATCAGCGGTGTTAAATGGAGACCAACCAATGTTGAGACTGTTGCGTGTGTGCAATCGTCCCCAGGCAGACCCCACTTTGGTCTGGGGATCAAGCTCACTCTTGACAATGCTTGTTATCTTCCGAGTCATATGGAAGCAAGTGTATGCCAAGAATGTAAGGACCAAGACGAACGTCTGGTAATTTCTTAGAGCCTTGGCACCTTTGAATAACCGGAGGCCAGGAGGTTTCCTACTCGTCGTCTCATGAGACTTGGCCATGAGAACTCTCGACTGTTGGTAACTGCAGCTACTGCCAGAGGCCAAGCAGATGTACACCTCCTGATAAAAGAATGATCACCACCTGAAAGCATCAAAGAGGATGTAAGACAAATGGGTAAAAGGAGCGATTCTATGTTACAATTGATAATTGAAGTTATACATCTCTTAGTGGTTAGTAACATCCATAAGCAATCGTGCTTTAAAAAACTAGAAATCACTGATCCAAACGCATCTTCGTAGAATTTTGGTTACCATGCAAATATGGGGGAAATGGATGCACCCAATAATTCAACACATTTTATAAAACTTTAAACTCCGTTAATCCCAACACAACTTTGTGCTATTTGGTTAACACGCAAACATGGTAAAAATTCACACATCTAATGATCCCGAAGCAATTTGGGAAACAAATTGATCAATATGTTGGCTAGCCCAGTTCAATGATCGCAAGTGCAAGTCATCCACTAGATCACCAAAAGCGGAAACCCATCTTGCTCTTGTTCTGCACAATATGATCACGTCATCTGTGACCTAGATCATGGAGAGCACATGGGTACAAAGGACTGACGATACACTATTCTTATCTCCAACACCACAAATCAGAATTCACCCCTATTATTGAGTGCAAATGCGTTCCTTAGCAATCAACCGACTTAGACGTGACTCTAAGGTATCAATTATCTACCATACTATTAATCGGGGCAGGTAAAAAGATCCCCAAGTGGATGTAGGGGGAGCAAGGCTGATCTGACCTGAATATCCCCGGATAAAATTTCAGGGTCTCCATCACAGGAACTAAACTTAGTACAGTATTGGATATTCGAAATCCAAAATATTACTTACTGTTTAAATGCTCTATCCACGGCTACCGAGCAGTACCACCAGCGGAACAAGCACCTAATTCAGGAAATAACGGGAGAGATTATCGTCAGTGGCGGAGCTAGACGAAAGTCTCCCTAAAAAAATTTCTTCAGAAATTGAGCCAAGGCTGGGGGGGCAGCAGCCCCCCCTGGCCCCAACATAGCTCCGCCACTGATTATCGTCTCTCTCTCTCCCCCCATGAATCCTGAAGGGACTAAAAATCCTTCCCATCTCCCTGCCCTGGGTCCAACCCAAACCTCCCCCAAACCCATCACCCTCCGCGCCAAAACCGACGATCCAAAGAAGCAAAGGGAACAAAGCTTACGGATTGGGCGTGCAGAATCAGTAAGGAAGAAGGAGGAGGGAGATGAAGAAACCGGGATTCGGGGCGAGAACACACCTCCGCGGAGGCGGTGGACTGCTCTGCCGATCTGCGACGAGCCGCGGCAGGTTGGATTGGGGGTTTAGTGTGAAAATGCGCACGCGCAGGCAGGAGAGGAGGAGATGGCTGGGGAAGGAAGGAAGGAGGTCGTTTCTTTCCGCTCTTGGCGTCTGTTTTTTCTCGAGAGTTTGGGTGGCTCGAGGAGTTCGGGCGAGGCTGGCTTGCATTTATTCTGATGGCAAGCCAAGCTTGCAGAGGTATTTACGGCGATGCCCTTGGACCATAATGCCCTTTCACTTTTATTTATTGTCTGGAGCAGACTGACGCCACAGGGTTCACAAGCACAAGCCGAAGTGGCAAACTGGCAATGGCAACCCTTTTATATGTCACGCTAAACGTCAACCACGAGACTGGTCATATATTGGGGAGGCTCTCAAGCCACATCAAACCCGTACTCCAAAGTGACAGCAACTCATACTCCACTACTACTACCTCTGCTTCACTTATACGGAGTATAAGGCATTTAAGCCCGCTCAGCTCTAAACAGTTTAAAACTAGCTGTCTAAACCGTTTTATAAAAACGAATGGAGGAAGTAGTTCTTAATAACAAATTTACCGTAATGTTATCTGATGGATGTTCGCCGTATCAAATCCTGGCAAAAGCCCCAGAGCTGTCAGAGTGGTAGTTTCTGCCTAGAACATCCCACAGTTTAAACAAAATGCCATGACAGTTTTGAAAAAGCCATCCCCAGCCACAAAAATTGTCATCCTGGGGTCGCGCTTGCCATCATCCCCTAGAACGGTCGTCGATTGGGATCCCAAATTTAAGTGATAGCACAACCACGTCATGCAGTCATAAGAATTGGAACCACTTTAGCACAAGACAATCAACCATAAGGTGGCACGACCCATATCTCATGATTTGCTTCGCACGCTCCCTCAAAAAAAAAAATCTACTTCGCACATTCCCTCAAATAAATAAAAACATCTGCTTCGCACGCAAACCCCAAGAAGAGGAGCTAGTCTTGCACTCCTTGTAAAAAATGTTCCGAGTTGGTCGATCGGCTTCGTTTTATGCAGTTGCTCGCGATAGTGACTCACTTTCCACATGGCCACACAGGCTACCCTCACCCGTGTGACCCCAGGCCGGAGCTTCAGATGCCTTTCAGAGTTTCCGGGTTTTCATCGTGTGAGTTGTCGGTTTGTTGCATTCATCTTTGTATCATGTGCATTGCATCATGTCATAAAACTTTTGCATCTCAACTAAATAAATTGCATAGATCGTTGATCTATTTAAATCGAGAGAACTCATATGGTGTTTTCTCTTTAAAACATACCCTCCCAATATTTAGGGAGCTATATAAAATATTCCATTAGTTTGGAATTTACCGCAACACACGGGCATATTAAATCCCTTCCTTTCCTGCCTCAAGTTTGGACTCTCTAACTTTGCCAAATTCTTTTCCTATTTATCGAGGCTCTTTTCTTTGATCTCAACATTTTTTGAGCACTTCTAAAACCTAGCCCCAATTCAAACCCATTTGAATGATATTCAAATGAGTTCGAATTTAAATCTTGCATTCACGCCAACTTCTATCTTCTTGGTTCCAGCTCAGTTTTGTGGGTCCGGAAATTTATACGCGTGTCCTACTTCTTCCCCAATACCTCCTTTCTTCTCCTTTTTCCTTCTTTGTTTTTTTTTTCTGTTTTTAGAAATCAAGAGAGGGAGAGAAGGGAGCCCAGCAGGCCATTTAGGCCCAGCTGCACCTAAACCTAGACGGCTCCAAGGCCCACTCCCCCGGCCCACCTAACCCTCTAACCTAGCCCGCACCCTGCTCTCCTCCCTTGCGCAGCCACTCCCTCTTGATCTCACCCTCTCTCTCCCGCAGCGCCCGAACCACCATCTCCCTCTATCCCATCTTCCTCCCGCAGCCTCTCCCTCTCGATCCCTCTTCACCTCCTCGCCTCCCCGCCGCATGGCTCGGCGCCAACGCCGCTGCTGCTTCGTCGCCCGTGTCGCCATGGTCCTCCTTGTGCCTTTGCTTCTTCACTTGCGGCTCCGCCGCCCCATGTCCACGTCGCCGGCCACCAGCAGGACGCCGCCGCAGCGCCGACCAGCGCCGGCCTCGACCGCCTCCTCTGCTCCGCCTCCATCGCCGGCGACCACGACCAGCGCCCACCTATGGGAGCTCTACGCCCCTGCCTCGTCCTCTTCTGTGGCTGCAGAAGCCTGCCACGAGCGTGCCGCCGTGCTGCTTCGCCGTCCATGGCCCTGGCCTCCTGCCACGGAGCTGACGCTGCCGGCGTCCACCTCCTCGCCCATGCCTCCCCGTCGCTCTTCCTTCACGTGAACTGTTGCAGGAGCGCCAACGCCACCAGGCCGCCGTCCCGCGCTCAAGCTCCTCCGCCCTCGGGCTCCGTTCGCGCCGCCGTTTGCCCGGATCCGACGCCGGCCGACCAGGATCCGCTCGTCTTCGCCGTTACCAGCGCTGCAGGAACCGTGCTTCAAGTCCCCGTCGCCAATCTGGCCTTGCACATCTTGTTTGACCCAAGGAGACCCACACCACCGGCAAGACCAAGGATGCCCGAACGAGTGCTGACCGAAACGCCTAAGTACCACTACTTCCACGATGATCGTTGTTCGCCAAGTACACCTTCGGACGCCAAGTTCCTCTTCAAAACGTACGACTACTCGGTGTTGCGTCAAGTACCCCGATGGCCGGAGCCCTCAGATCCGTCAAGTTCGTCTACGAACCGAGAACAACTACTATCTCCGAAGAACCGTGTAATGGAACCGTCAAGTTCGACTATGACTCGTGTACGACTACGCGGGATTCCTCGGACGCCAAGTTCAACGATGCATCAAGTTCCTCGCCGTGACCCTGAACATCTGCAGGAAAACATGTACCAATACTGCCGCCGAGATTGCGAGAACCTCTATCGTCGATCCTAGAGCATGCGAGAATGACTACTTCCACTACGAACGTCCCGAGAATGTCTACTTCCCCTACACCGCATCGAACTTGATCCGTTCCGAAAAGGCACGCTTCAAAGGTATAACCTCGAGACGACCACTCGTGGACCGTATGCATGAGTTGTATGAGATGCATGTTGGTTGTTGTATCTGCCCGTGAATGTTAGTTGTTTCCCTCGCTTGGCACCACCGTCGACCCATGGGAACCCGGTTACCGGGATCACCCCACCATCTTTTGCACGCTCCCGTCACTTCCTTTTGCACTAGTATCCCCGTGGGCTACCGGATAATCGATATGTTGTCGTGGCATCATTTTCGTATTCGTTGCGGTGGCACCCCTTGAAGGAAATATGCCCTAGAGGCAATAATAAAGTTATTATTTATTTCCTTATATCATGATAAATGTTTATTATTCATGCTAGAATTGTATTAACCGGAAACATAATACATGTGTGAATACATAGACAAACTTAGTGTCACTAGTATGCCTCTACTTGACTAGCTCGTTAATCAAAGATGGTTATGTTTCCTAACCATGAACAAGGTGTTGTTATTTGATTAACGAGGTCACATCATTAGTTGAATGATCTGATTGACATGACCCATTTTATTAGCTTAGCACCCGATCGTTTAGTATGTTGCTATTGCTTTCTTCATGACTTATACATGTTCCTATGACTATGAGATTATGCAACTCCCGTTTACCGGAGGAACACTTTGTGTGCTACCAAACGTCACAACGTAACTGGGTGATTATAAAGGAGCTCTACAGGTGTCTCCAAAGGTAGATGTTGGGTTGGCGTATTTCGAGATTAGGATTTGTCACTCCGATTGTCGGAGAGGTATCTCTGGGCCCTCTCGGTAATGCACATCACATAAGCCTTGCAAGCATTGCAACTAATGAGTTAGTTGCGAGATGATGTATTACGGAACAAGTAAAGAGACTTGCCGGTAACGAGATTGAACTAGGTATTGGATACCGACGATCGAATCTCGGGCAAGTAACATACCGATGACAAAGGGAACAGCGTATGTTGTTATGCGGTCCGGCCGATAAAGATCTTCGTAGAATATGTAGGAGCCAATATGGACATCCAGGTCCCGCTATTGGTTATTGACCGGAGACGTGTCTCGGTCATGTCTACATTGTTCTCGAACCGTAGGGTCCGCACGCTTAACGTTACGATGATAGTTATTATGAGTTTATGTATTTTGATGTACCGAAGTTAGTTCGGAGTCCCGGATGTGATCACGGACATGACGAGGAGTCTCTAAATGGTCGAGACATAAAGATTGATATATTGGAAGCCTATGTTTGGATATCGGAAGTGTTCCGGGTGAAATCGGGATTTTACCGGAGTACCGGGAGGTTACCGGAACCCCTCGGGAGCTATATGGGCCTTAGTGGGCTTTAGTGGAAAGGAGAAAGGGGCAGCCCAAGGTGGCCGCGCACCTCCCCCCTCTCCTAGTCCTATTAGGACTAGGAGAGGTGGCCGGCCCCCTCTTTCTCTTTCCCCCCCTCAAGGAGTCCTATTCCAACTAGGATTGGGGGAGGGAATCCTACTCCCAGAGGGAGTAGGACTCTCCTGGCGCGCCCCCCTTGGCCGGCCAGCCCCTCCCCTTGGATCATTTATATACGGAGGCAGGGGACACCCCTAGACACACAAGTTGATCCTTGAGATCGTTCCTTAGCCGTGTGCGGTGCCCCCTGCCACCATATTCCACCTCGATCATATTGTAGCAGTGCTTAGGCGAAGCCCTGCGACGGTAGAACATCAAGATCGTCACCACGCCGTCGTGCTGACGGAACTCCTCCCCGACGCTTTGCTGGATCGGAGCCCGGGGATCATCATCGAGCTGTACGTGTGCTAAGAACTCGGAGGTGCCGGAGTAACGGTGCTTGGATCGGTCGGATCGGGAAGATGTACGACTACTTCCTCTACGTTGCGTCAACGCTTCCGCAGTCGGTCTGCGTGGGTATGTAGACAACACTCTCCCCTCTCATTGCTGTGCATCACCATGATCTTGCGTGTGCGTAGGAAAATTTTGAAATTACTGCGTTCCCCAACAATGGTATCAGAGCCCAGGTTTTATGGTTTGATGTTATATGCACGAGTAGAACATAAGTGAGTTGTGGGCGATATAAGTCATACTGCCTACCAGCATGTCATACTTTGGTTCGGCGGTGTTGTTGGACGAGACGACCTGGACCGACATTACGCGTACGCTTACGCGAGACCGGTTCTCCCGACGTGCTTTGCACATAGGTGGCTTGCGGGCGACTGTCTCTCCAACTTTAGTTGAACTGAGTATGGCTACCCCGGTCCTTGCGAAGGTTAAAACGGAGTCTATTTGATAAACTATCGTTGTGGTTTTGATGCGTAGGTGAGATTGGTTCTTGCTTAAGCCCGTAGCAGCCACGTAAAACTTGCAACAACAAAGTAGAGGACGTCTAACTTATTTTTGCAGGGCATGTTGTGATGTGATATGGTCAAGGCATGATGATGAATTTTATTGTATGAGATGATCATGTTTTGTAACCGAGTTATCGGCAACTGGCAGGAGCCATATGGTTGTCGCTTTATTGTATGCAATGCAATCGCGATGTAATGCTTTACTTTTTCACTAAACGGTAGCGATAGTCGTGGAAGCATAAGATGGCGAGACGACAACGATGCTACGATGGAGATCAAGGTGTCGCGCCGGTGACGATGGTGATCATGACGGTGCTCCGGAGATGGAGATCACAAGCACAAGATGATGATGGCCATATCATATCACTTATATTGATTGCATGAGATGTTTATCCTTTTATGC